TCGCCGAAAGCTCTTTGAAGGCATTTGCCTCCAATTTTGTCCAACTGGCTATGAAGCTTCGAGCGACGACGTTCGTGGCCAAGAATGGTATGTCAAGCCCAATCTCAATTTCAACTCACTTGTGCGTGTATTGCTGTTGCTGTTGTTGTCGTCGTCGTTGTTGTTGTTGTTGTTTGAACCCTTGTCGTGTGTGAGTGTGTTTTGCGTTTTTCCACATTGCTGTCTTGCAGCTAGGTCTCAAATCTGAAATTCGCCTCACCATTCTGCCGGTTTTCTTGGGGGCTGGCCACCATTTTTTAGTGTACGAATTGCTACGACTACCACCACCACGACCGCAGCACCGACTACGACAGCGGGCCCGACAGACTTACCTGAGCAGGCTGATATCGAGCGAGCGGAACCGATTTGCCTCTCGGGCAATAACTCGTGGGTGCGCTTTGCCTTGGAGAAGGGTTTAACCAGCAACGATTTGGCTATGGACTTTAGGACGGCGCGGTCTTCGGGCATTCTGGCCATCATGCCCAGTCAAGTGGATAGTAGCGACTACTTGGCTGTCTTTCTTGTGGGCGGCCGTGTGCGTTTTGCCTTTGATACCGGAGATGGCGCTGTTGTGCTGACGACGAATGCAACATATAACGACGACCGATGGCACAATCTGAGCGTGACTCGAGTGACGCTCGAGTCAACGGTCTTGACCACGCTGGATGTGGATGGCGAGATGGTGTCCGTCATGACGACAATCGGATCGTCAGGTGGCCAGCTCGATGTGAGTGAGACCATCTACTTTGGTGGCTTTGATACGGCCCAGGCATTGCCCTCGGGCCTCTCGGTATTGGGAGCGCAATCTGTCTTTGAGGGCTGCTTGGATTCCCTTCAGATTGATGGCACCACTGTCACTCTGACCTCACCCAGTCGCACGGGGGCTTCGGGCTTGGCGCGATGTGATTCGGTGACTTACAACACGCGTGGCTCGTATGTTCTACACACGGGCATTGCCGTCGTTAACATGCCGAGTGGCAGCAACTTGGAGCAAGACGGGCACCGCGTTCGCTTTCGCACAACAGACGGCGACGGCAGTCTGTTGTACTTGCCGGGCGTGGATGGCTCGGGTGAATTTATCGGTCTGTCCCTCGTTGATGGGCGTATCCAGTTGGAGCAAAATCTGGGCGGTGGCGTTGTGACCGGTCAGACCCCAGCCCCGCGTCGCTTTGATGACGGCGAGTGGTATGAGGTTGAGTTGTTGCGCACGGGCCCGCAAAGCTTGGCCGTGATGAATGTGTCTGCTTCTGATGGCTCGAGCTATCTGGCGTTTGTAACCTCGTCCGTTCCCAACAACAACAACGACTCGGTATGTGACCACTCAGCGCTAGAATATCCCACCTTGCACGTTCTGGCGGTTTTTTTTTTTTTTCTTCTTCTTCTTCTCTTTCATCTCATTTGCTGTGCTTGATCTCTCTTGGAATAGGATGATGCCAGGTTTGCGAGCAATGGTGAGGTCTACATTGGAGGTGTCAGTGTGACTGCGGATGAAACAGCATACACACGACTGCATGACGGATATCTGGGCTGTATCAAGGCCGTGACGATTAATGGCGTCGCATTGCGCCCGACGGCTTCAACCGCCACCTTAACAATTGGTCTGGACATTTGCACGCCATGCAACAACCTGTAAAAAAACCGGTTTGACTTGAGTGTTTGACGTTTGTGATGAAGGGCCACAGTTGTGTTCTTATCTTGCCGTGCCTCCCCCGTGTGGCACGCCTTGTTTCGAAGCAGGGCTGCACCCGACGAGTCGCTTGCTGTGTGGCTTTTCCCTTTCTATCTATCCGTTGTTGTTGTTGTTGTTGTTGTTGTTGTTGTTGTTGATGCTTTTGTTGGTATTTCATGATTTTTAATGGGTTTTCTTTGAATTTTCCCTAGAATTTTTTTTTTTTCCAGACTTGTCAAAATTTGATTCTGTATTTGAATACAAGATTACAATATGCACGTCCTGATTTCGCAGCCAGCCATGGGTATGATTCGGAGCGGGACCTGACCTCAATAGCATACTCACATTGACAAGGAGGAGCACCAGCAATGTTTATGTCTTTCTCGAATATCCACACGTTTCATGATGCTGGCCTAAACATAGTGACATTGTGTTACACTGGATGCAAGCAGCGCCGTAGGATTTCGGGATGTGAATTGTCTTGTTAGATTCACTCGTACTTGGCTTGAAAACTCAGGGTCGATCTTGCCTGATTTTGTGTTGCTTTGAGCTTCAAGCAATGCCGCTCCATGTCTTCTACAATGGGATCTCCACTCGGCTACCACTGGATTTTTATTTGGCAGGAAAAGGCAGCTCGGTGGGGTGGTTTTCCCATATGGCTCTGTAGGGGCACTGTCACTTGACCTGCTTTTTTCGTCCTTCTCTCGGACCCCAGCACAGAGTGATCCACGACTCACTGCAGATGCGATGGTAATCCCTTTGTGCGTGTGTGTGTGGTTTCAGTGTCAATACGGCTGATCACATAGAAATGATCAATTGGGGCTGAGCTGTCCAATTTCAAAAACTCGGTGCCACCAGCTGAATCCTCAACAAGATAATAGGTTAATAAGAGACCAACAAGTAAAAGACAAAATAAAAAGCAACTCAAAACAAGAAAATACTGCGAAATACAAAGTTTTTCAATGTGGAGCAGCAAGTCGCGCGCACAAAGCTCGTCAGACAAGACTGGCAGCACGATCACACTACTGCGCATCAGACATCATGCAACTGGACAAAAAGTTAGCACACCAAACCAAAAAAGACACGACAAAGAAAGAAAAACACGTCTGGGCAAACGGAACACAGCTGCTGTGTTACATGAAATGTGGGCAAACGGAACACAGCTGCTGTGTTACATGAAATGTGCTCAAAGGCGACGGGCCGTCAGTTCGACGGAATCAAAATTAACCTGTCCGACAGCTGTGCCATAGCCCATGCGCACAATAAAGGTGGCATCTGGCGGCAAGTCAGAGGGGATAACGCAGGTAAGCTCCTTGGTAACAAATTGTCCCTGGATCAAGGAGGTCGCAGGCAAGTCCAGGCGTTGCACCACAATGCCGGTATTCGTGCGAATGGACACATAGCTGTCGCCGATGGTGGTGAATTCATTACGCCAGCCGACACGCACGGTCAAAGACATCTCCACGCCGACATCTGCACTTGTCAGGGCCGGTACAGCTTGCTGGATGTAGCTCCCCGAACGCACATATGCAGCCTGTCCACCCTCCAATTGACCCGCCGCATAGCTCACACCAACTGCTGGCTTGTAGACGCCGGCTTTGTTGTCTCGCGCCACCCAATTGGCGATGCTTGTTTGGAAGCTGCCGGTGAAGCTATCCACCTCAAATCCGCCATTACCCAGCGCCACAAGCGTCAAGAAGGAGGTACTGGTAGAGGTGCTAGTAGAGGTACTGGTTGAGGAGCTAGTATCGGTACTCGTGGAGGTACTGGTTGAGGAGCTAGTATCGGTACTCGTGGAGGTACTGGTTGAGGAGCTAGTGGATGAGCTGGTAGAGATGCTAGTGCTGGTTGACGTTGCGAGGTCAAAGGTTGTTGTGACATGCACATCGTCAAAATTGACCTGGAAACGATCGTTGTCATTGCTCAGTGTCAAGCGCACGGCCTCGCCATGTAGGATGGTAAAATCGTCACTATCAACAGAGAAAAACACGCGCACAAAACTGCCAACGACTGCTTCTGATTGTACAACAATATGCCCTCCTAGAGCAATTCCCGTCGTGGCCGACCGCAGAGAAATTGATGAGGGCACAAAAACGCCGCCATTTTGGTCAGCACGGAATCCGACCAGGGCTGACACGTTGATCAGCTGGTGTGGTGCCAACACCAAATCCAGCACTTGCGACACGCTGGCTTGGCGATTGAGATAGGCAATGTTGCGTCCGTCAAAGTCCATGTTGGGGAAGGCCAAGCTATCTGCCGCATACACGCCAGCGGGGCCAGAGGTTGACCAAGATTGAATCGCATTTGGCTGGAAATCTCCAATTTCACTGATGTAGTCAGCCTCAAATGAAGGGTTTAATACAAGGGCGACAGAATCTGTGGAGGTCGAAGTTGAGGTTGAAGTCGAAGTGGACGTCGAAGTGGACGTCGAAGTGGAAGTGGAAGTGGAAGTGGAAGTGGAGGTGGAAGTGGAGGTAGAAGTAGAGGTGGAGGTGGAGGTAGAGGTAGAGGTAGAGGTAGAGGTAGAGGTAGAGGTAGAGGTAGAGGTAGAGGTAGAGGTAGAGGTAGAGGTAGAGGTAGAGGTAGAGGTAGAGGTAGAGGTAGAGGTAGAGGTAGAGGTAGAAGTAGAGGTAGAGGTAGAAGTAGAGGTGGAGGTAAAGGTGGACGAGGAGGTGGAAGTAGAAGTAGAGGTGGACGACGAGGTGGACGAGGAGGTGGAGGTAGAAGTGGAAGTGGAGGTAGAAGTGGAGGTAGAGGTAGAAGTGGAGGTGGAGGTGGAGTTAGAGGTCGAGGGAGAAGTGGAGGTGGGGGTGGACGTAAAATCAGAGGCAGAAGTAGAAGCGACGGAAGAGGGGGTAAAACTCGATGTTTCGGAAGAAGTGCTGAATTGCGATGCAGTGCTCGTGCTCGAGGATGATGACTCTGATGTCGACGTCAGTGTTGAACTTGAGCTGCTGGTAGAGGGGCTTGAGCTCGTCGACACGCTAGTCGAAGTGGAGGTTGAAGTTGACGTCGAGGTTGATGTTGAAGAAGATGAAAATGTGGAGGAAGATGTTGAGGTGGCAGTGGACGTGCTCGTGCTCGTGCTGGTAGGCATGGTTGAGCTCGATGTAGAGCTCGACGTGGTGATGACGGCTGGCAATCGGCACACAAAACTTCGGGTGCGACCACATCGCTCATCTGATACTCGCCTTGGAGATCATCGTTCTTGGTGCGCA